TATTCTTGTAGGTATACCGTGTTGTCAGCACGCGGACTCGTTGGACGGGCCTCCAGGGAGTCGACTGAGCTAGTTGTTGACGCTGTGGAGGCGCTTCCGCCACGACTACATAAAGTATCGTTTTTTGTTCTGTACAATGACGTTCCGAACTCCGAATACGTGGACCCGGTGGAGGGGCCTCCAAAGGGTCAACCAAGTGAGGGGTTGACTCTGTGGAGGCTCTCCCACCGGGTCCACAGAAACTATTGTTTTTGGTTAGTTGTTGACTTTGTGATTTCTAGCAAGTTTACATAAAGTCCAACCGGGTCCACAGAAACTAATGTTTTTGGTTAGTTGTTGACCTTGTGATTTCTACTAAGTATACATAAAATATCGTTTTTTGTTCTGTACAATTACGTTCCGAACTCCGAATAGGTGGGCCCGGTGGAGGGGCCTCCAGAGGGGCAACCAAGTGAGGGGTTGACTCTGTGGAGGCTCTCCCACCGGGTCCACAGAAACTATTGTTTTTGGTTAGTTGTTGACTTTGTGATTTCTAGCAAGTTTACATAAAGTCCAACCGGGTCCACAGAAACTAATGTTTTTGGTTAGTTGTTGACCTTGTGATTTCTACTAAGTATACATAAAGTATCGTTTTTTGTTCTGTACAAGTACGTTCCGAACTCCGAATACGTGGACCCGGTGGAGGGGCCTCCAGAGGGTCAACCAAGTTAGGGGTTGACTCTGTGGAGGTTCTCCCACTAACAAGGGTATTAGGGAATATTAAACTCCCACCCCGGTTAAACTTTACATTGAATTGGGAAGATCAACGAGCGTATTAGGGAATATTAAACTCCCACCCCCGTTAAACTTTGCATTCAATTGGGAAGATCAACAAATGTATTAGGGTATATTAAACTCCCACCCCCGTTAAACTTTACATTCAATTGGGAAGATCAACAAGGGTATTAGGGAATATTAAACTCCCATCCCCGTTAAACTTTGCATTCAATTGGGAAGATCAACAAATGTATTAGGGAATAGTAAACTCCCACCCCCGTTAAACTTTACATTCAATTGGGAAGATCAACAAGGGTATTAGGGAATATTAAACTCCCACCCCGGTTAAACTTTGCATTCAATTGGGAAGATCAACAAGGGTATTAGGGAATAGTAAACTCCCACCCCCGTTAAACTTTACAGTCAATTGGGATGTTGATGATGTTGATGATGTTGATGTTGTTGCTGATGATGCTGATGATGATGATGATGTTGATGAAATGAGGGAAAAATTCGTCATCCGTTTGCCCAAACGAACGACACGGGGAATCTCACAAAACATTGGCCCTGCGCAGTCAAAACGCACTTTCCCGGGCAGCACATCCGTCCTGGCCGTAGTACTACTACTACTACTACTACTACTACTACTACTACTACTACTTTTACTACTACTACTACTTTTACTACTACTACTACTACGACGACTACGACTACTACTACTATCATTCGTATGGCACCTATCTCACTAGAATTTACCAAAGAACAGAAAACATCATTTTTTCGGGGTTGCGCTTTATCTCGCCTCGATGAAGCACAACCAAGTGCTTGGGAGCACAACCAAAGTCATTTATCGCACAAACATGAGCTTGGTTGCGCCCCCAAACGCTGGGTTGCGCTTCATCTCGCCTCGATGAAGCACAACCTTGGAAAATGATATTTTTTTATCTTCTTTGGTAAATTTATGTCATCCAGACCGTAGCATATTCTAACTTCGCGAAAAACGCGAAAAAAGCGAAAAAAGTATCAACGTCGGAAAAGCGAAAAAGCAAAGCAGCAAAATCTAAAAAACACAAAAGCAGAATAAAAGGAGAAAAAAGAAAGGAAAAACACGGAGAGGCTCAAAGGGAAAAATG